CCCGTCAACCAGTAATACAAGCAAGATATGCAACCCAAAAAATAAATAGAAAAATAACACGAACATACCATTGAATCTGCTTCCATCCCAGCCACTCCTGTAAGTGAACCACAGAGCAAACCACCATCCCCTTGTAGGCAGCGGAATACCTTACCACTTTCACGGGCCGCAATCTCTGCTGATTCGACGTTTCCATCCATTGATAAAAGAGACAAAATGTACCTACGGGCCAATTCAGGCCATGTAAACTCGTTAACAGGAAGCATATGCAGCTTATTTCTTTTAGAAGAAAGGGTACTTTCATCCTTTTTCCGTCCGCGTCTGGATCTTGATTCTCCAGAATCAAAGTTTGGATCAACAAATGCAGCTACCTTGGATTGCAACTCACATATTAGCACTTGCAGAAGCGAAATGTGAGTCTTAGTTAGAAGTTCACCCAAGCACGGCCCACGAGAGGAATATGAAATGTTGACCTCAGTAGAATCCCGTGCTTTTGTCTCTTTTAGTACAGAAGCAGATGTATTTTCCGAAGAAGATTCATCCAACAAAGTCAAAAATTTAGTAGCTGTAGAATCCTTATCACTAAGGTTCATCTCACTTCTATTAACTTCTTTCCCAGAATTATCAAGAAACAAACCATCTAACACTGGATTGACAATCTCATGTTCAAACTTCTCAGGTGAGAAAGCGTCTCCCAAACCCAAAATTTCACGGAAACGCCAGAACACTTCAGATACCTGATCAGGCAAACATAAAATGAATGTTATATATGTGTGGTAGGACTTAGTGAATGGAGGGAACTTTGCAGATTACCATATAATAAAAACACAAGTATGTACCTGAAGGAAGTCACCAACCACCCCAGGAGGAAGCCTCAAACACATAGGCCTCCCTGGAGGAGGGTGTGGATTGCTAAACCCATGACCGCCATTTAGTTTATGCCTTTTGGCTTTCCGAGATGTCTCACCAAAAACTTCTTCCCTGACATTTTCTCCACCTTTTGTTTTGACAACAAGCGCTCCTTCTGCTACAGTTACAGAAACAGAAGAACTTCTAGTCTTCAGAGACCTATAATTTGAACATGATTCGGCACCAGGCATACGTTCAATCATTTCCTGTACAAAATCTGCATCAAGTCCAAACCTGCTTTGATCCAGCCACCTTGACAAAACATCAACTAAAGATGCGACCTCGCTATTATCCTTTTCACCACATGTAGCACTGTGAGGAGCCAAAGAACAGCAAAATCTTGACAAAGACAAAATCACATTGTCTTTCTCATTTATTGTATCCCAGTTGATTTCCTTTGTTTCTCTGTCAACATGCTTGCAACAGAAGTTCATGGTACCCTTGTGCTTTAAGACATTGAAACATGCATCAACAAGCTTTTGAGACACCTTTTTCCATGCAACAGACAATGAATCTTCTTCCACAACAATATCGCCAATTTCAACTCCATGCTGCTGGTTATAGGGTAGAGTATTATTTAAGTCTACTTGAGAAGAACCAACTTCCGAGCGCAGACAATTGAATGTAAAATTATTTTCCCGTAAACAAGACAATATATCATCTCCAAGAGGTGGGGACGGATCTGAAAGAAGGATCTCCACAGTGTCGTCATCATGCTCGTGAATAGTGTCTCTACGATCACCTCGTTTGTCAATGTTCTGTTCCACCATTTCATCAATCTTTGGGCAGGAGAAGACGGTTGATCCAACTGGAACTAATGATTTAGAGCATGGTGACCGTGTAATCTTGAAAACAGGTCCAGAACTACCACCAGATACTTCACAAGTAAATAAAGACCCTGTGATTTTATCATGCCAGCAGGACTTATATCCTATTGGATAAATCATGTTGACATTGTGGTAAGGCTGTCTTATGTCAATTCGTCCAAGCGACAGGACAAAGAAATCTTCAAATTGCATAGGAAGTCCCTTCTGAAAGTCAAAATACACAAACATGAGGGTTAAAAACAAGAACAAAACAAAAACAAAGCGTAGCCAGTAGAGAGTTAAAGTTTACACGTACATTAGCTTCCTCACAACCGCATCCATTATTCCCAGAGCTAAGAGATTCACCAGCCTGGAAAAGAGTACCAGATAAAATGGCAAAAGAGGGCATCGTCTGACCATTGTATGGAAATCGACCGAGCTGAGCACTCAGTGAACTACCCTTTTGCTCAGGGAAATTACTGTTTGGCCATCTTGATGTCTTTCTTCTCTTGGGCGTATTAAATCTTTCTTGAAGAGGAGAACTCTCATTCCTGATTTCAGCATCCATACAGCTGTAGTTACCATTAGTTGCCAAGCCCAGATAAGAAGCAACATCTTGTATCGAACTAAATGTTTTTCCACTAGGAGCACAATACACTGCACATAGATGATAGCCATTTAAAGGTTGTTTAAATTCGACACGCCAACCATCTTCTAATACCCCGTGCCTTTCAGATATGAAATGCCTGAGATTTTGCAGCAACAGCTCGCTTTGATCCACGGATGGAAATCTGATGGGCAAACTAGTATTGTTCAGGCTTAATGGGAAACCAAAACCGAAAGAATGTGGATCGGTAGCACCCACGTTCATTTTGGTATCACGAGCCATAATCCCAGAAGCTTCTAAACTAACATGTAGTCTACCAGGATTCAGAAAGCTTGAATGCGTCATTGAATGTTCAAAAGAGTTCCCCACGCAAGAACTGCTGGCCAGCGTATGCTTTCTGGAGAAAAAAAAAAAGGAAGCACATGACCCATCAATGCTTTAGAATTACTGCTAGGTATTTTCTAAGACACCCATGTTAAAAGAAGAAAGAGTCCTATCAAGTATAGTTGTAGAACTTATCGAAAAATATCATGCGTATAGAAAGCCTCGTAATGCAGAAAATAAATCATCAGAGTCAAGATCAAAGAACTCTCATGAACAGAAAAGCTAATATGCCCTTCTTCTAGTACCACCAAATACTATTCGATTAGCTTTCTAGTTGATCTCATTAGTTCCTATGCATGCAAATACAGCTTACGCAAGTCCTTACTTCTATCTTGTAGAGCTCAACCAATATTCAGTTCAGTTCGTTAAAAAAAATAAAACCCTAACAAATAGTCGGAAAACAGAACCACGGCTACGTACCTGGAATCTGATGGATCCTCGGCTCCGTATCCCTCGGCATCACTCGGCGGCGAGGCGTTCATATCGAGGATAAGCTTCGACTTCACCCCCAACGGCCATAGCTTGCTCCTCCCGCCGCCGGCAACACAGTCGCTACACATCCAATCGGCGGAAGGAGCAGACTCCACTCCGTCTTCAACACAGCAGAGATGAAACCCTCGCTCACAAGCGTCGCAGACCACTACGAGCTCCATCGACTCCGGCCTTCCACAGGCGCCGCACGCGGCATCTCGATCCGGCTCAGGAACCTCTGCAGGGGCTCCAGGCGCCGGGTCCGGGTTATCATGGATTGACCTAACAACTTCGACAGGCTCATACTCTCCGTCATCGTCCTGAACAGCGTTGCAACCACCGCCGGGAGTAGCGCCGGTAGGGATTTCGTTAAGATCGATGCCGAGAAAGGAGGAGCGATTACTATTATCTTCGTTGAGAGCGGCGATACTGGTCTCTCCGAGTGGCTTTTTCGTAGAATCAGTGAGTTCCATTATTCGATTAGGTTATTGAGATCGAGCATTGCCTTACATTCGTAGACGAAAGAAGAAAGTGAGAGAAAAAAAGAGGTTTTCTTATTTATTTTCTCTCCGCTTTTCCCCAAAGTTTTGTTGAGAGAGAGAGGAGAAAAAAACGTGAATTATCTTTGTTTTTTTTTTTTTTTTTTATTAAGCTTTTTTGGTTGTTTCTAATTACCCAAATACAGTAGTAGTTGATTGTAACCTTAACAACAAAGGTAAAATGAGATTATTATTGTATCCTGCATATTTAATTTCATTTACGTAATTACATGATAGCAAGGCATGAATGTAAAAATATGAAAAGGAAATGGTTACCTTAGATTGTTGCTTTTATATGGAATTTATATATCACATGATAACCTACACGTTTGAGTGTGGGGGTGGTTTTCTCGGTGAAACGATAAAGATACCAATGGACCTTTAGTGGTCAAAATTATGCTAATGTGTCAGAAGAAAGGTAAAGAATTTAAAACCATTGGCATCAAGAGGAAATTAAGTAATTAACCCAAGGAAGATGGTGTAATGTACACGTTAATCATACTACTATATTATTTTTCGCTTTTAATACTTAAACAGTCAATTGTTCTCATTTGGTACATCAAATCTGAGATTGTGTCGGTTTACAAGTGATGATTAACTAGAAATTGACTTAACTAGCCTAATTATCAACTGGATTCGTTTGGGCAACCATGTGTTGAAATTTACCTGCACACAGGCCCAAAGCAGGAAGGTTACAATTATCAGGGGTCATTGTTTATCAAGTTTTCTAACACCCTATCAAGTATTAAACTACATCTACCAGTCCCAGTTAATGAGAATGTCTACAACATTGCGACAAAATAGTTGTTTTATTCATGTACATGTTCTTGTAACTTCAATGTGTATACTCTCATTCATCCATGTGGTGTAGAAACTATATATAAGAGTTAGGAGATAAACTGGTCCAAGCAGCTAAAAACAAGTACTTATACATACACAAGTTGGCTAGAATATGATTGTCCCAATACTTATATTACATTTTTCTTATTAGCTTTCAAGTTTGTTTTGGTGTTGTTGGCTTATGTAATATCACATTTCACGACCATAGAGTGTTATCCACAGCGAATGAATGATCATCAGTAGCAAGTAAACCAGTGAAAACTGAGTTGGCTTCAGGCCATTCTGGTGTTTTGGTGCCGATAACAGCTACATAAACTTGTTATAACAAATCGAAGCATTGTCAATGAGCAAGTTGTACGGCTCCAACATTTCAAAACTTGTTAAAACAAAGTCAAGATAAGAAAAAGGCAATCAAGCACCAAAACAAACAAATCAGATTCTCCATCAAGAGTTTGATAAGAGGTTATTGCTTAACTGTTGTAAATAGGAGGAGTTGGAAGAGGACCATCGATCCAAAACCCATTGTTTTCTTGTGCCAAGGAAACACCATTTTCGCCAAAAGTTCCAGTGAGAGCTATGGAGACAGCCTGTCATCATCCGTCTTGGAAGCTGTACCACTGAATCAGTCTCTTGAAAATCTCTGGTTTTCCTGCAAACAAACCCGCTCGGTTTTACGATCTTCCAAGTCTCACGTGGTTTAGATATCGACGGTAGTAAAGTGTTGAGGTCCATGAAGTGAGCCATTGATTGTAGCTGTTACCAGAGGAAGGTTTGCTCCTTAGGGATGGATGAGCTTTGGATTTCGTTTTTTTCTTTCTATTAATCCGTTAATAAAAAGAGGGAAGCCGGTTATTGTCTGAACAAAAGGGGTGGTTCCGTAATTCGATATTTTAAGTGTGTGCTGTTCTATGAATTTATGAAGTAGAATCCGTGCCGTTTTACGTGACAAACTTCTTTTATCTTCTTCTCTTCTCCGTCGCTGTTCGTCCTATTCCGCCGTCTAACTGTCCGATTTCTCCGTGTTCGGTCTCTGCCATCGACGTGTCGCTTTGTTATCTCCATTCAGGTACCCCCACTGCTCTGGTTTTTATATTTAGTGAGTAGCTTTGGTGATAAAATTCCAGATTCATATGATTTAGTAATAATCATTTATTTAGAGAAAGCGTGGATGGATGCGCAGACACAGAACACTTCGTTGCAGCGCCTCCAGAATGTCGAGAGAGTGAGATTTCCCAGAACAAATCACTTAAATCTCCGACAATGGGCAGTTATTTGATTTTTTGAATCTGTAAATCTTATTAATTCGCAGAGAGTGGTGAGGGTTTTGGATATAGCTGGAGGTGTGATGGAAGAACTGGCGAGCCCTTCTGGGCCCAGGGAAGATTTCGTCAACAGCCATTGCCGTGAGTTCATGAAATCCATCAAGGTTGATTACTCTTTTTCTTCAAAAAAAATAAAATTTATTTGGGGACACAAGTCTTGGTTAAAGGAGTACACCTACTTAAAAGAGGCTTTGATTTTGGGTAACCACAGCTAACATTAAGTGGTCATAATTCCATGAATGAGTTCACCTTTGGATATGCTTTTCCATTCCACATTAACAACATGAATGAACTTACTTGTTGTGTAGGATATTCAAGTGACACTAAGGGAAGAGATCAAAAGCGCCTGCGAGTACCGTCCCTTTGAGAAATGCGACTACAATGCAAGGATTGCTAATGAGATTTCCTTCCAGAAGCTTCAATTTGTTCTCTCACAGCTTCATCATCTGCAACAAACCCTTGACCGGTATCCTTCTGATGATTGAACTCACTTTCTCGAGTTTGTTCAAGTTTTACAAAATCTCCTCTATGTTGGTTTTAGTTAATATTTTTTACAAAAGGCTTACTTGAGGAATGATGTACAACAGTTATGATGTACTAGTTTCTAGAATAATACAGGTTAACCTATTAAAGTACATAGGTGAAGTTGGTTAGACATTCACATGAAATGAATTAGATGCATCAATAACTGGGAGTTAGCCACGTCATCTTATTTAGAGAACCAGACCAAAGGGTTAGTGAGAACCAATATATCTCTGTTAGCGGTTATGCCGGCTCCGCACTGTTTTAATGCCAGCTCAAGAGACGCGTTTGATTTGGAGAAGGCTGAAAACTAGGGTTTTACAAGTTGGTGATGAGAAGAAGAGGAACAAAAATCTAAGAAGAGAGATAGATAATCAGGATTTTTCCCTGATTGGCTGATTATCTTTGTTTCGAGTCAGGATCACAACATGGGATCTAAGAGGATGAGGCTACAAACGTCACCGATGTCTGAAATGGACTCCACAGATGAAATGCACGAGGCGTTGTTCGCGAAGAGAGGGTGTTGTTTCCTTATGCCCTGCCTTGCCTCATCTCAGCCGTCCTCTCGGGGCAGATCTTTGTGGTGGCAACGGATCAGGACAGTGGAGAGGCTCGAGCCTGAGGAACGGTGGTGGTGGATTAGAGGGTGGAGGAAGACGAGGCAGTGGTCGGAGGTCGTAGCTGGCCCTAGATGGAAGACATTTATCCGCAGATTGGGACGCAGCCACTGCTGCGGTGGAAACAGTGATGGAGGCGGAGGCTGCGTAGCAATAAGTCCTAACCGGTCAGACCAGGGTAAATTCCGGTACGATCCATTGAGCTACTCTTTAAATTTCGACGATGGAAAGCAAACGGGACATTTTGAAGACGAGTTTCCATACCGGTATTACTCCAAGAGGTTCGCTGCGCCTTCTTCATTGCCGGTCTCCACTAAATGCACCATGGATTTCGATAGCGACAGAGAAAGCCATGAGCTTCTTAAGTGAAAATGACAAAAGACTAAAGAGTTATTAGATATGTTCGTGTTTATGCCTTTCTTTTGTTGAGAAACAAAATATTGTTTCTGTAGTGGTTGATCATGTTCATGTGCAAATGAAATTCCAACGAACTCATCAGTAGTAGAATAGTTGCCATGGAATAAACATGAACTCTTTGATGTATGTTAAACCAAATTGGCGTAATGAATGTGCTGATTATGATGAATATGCAAATGTACAAGACCCTTAAATTAGAGCACACAAATAAGACCCACTAAAAGGCCCATCTTACTACACCAACGAAACGTCCAAAGGGCGGGTGTATGAATTCCGCTGTCTTTTTGAGTGAGAGGTTTTTAGGGTTCTTTAAGTTTTAAGTGAAGATTTTTTAGAATCGAAATTAGGAAGTATCGTAGCTTTGAATGGGTTCGGCGATGGGAGATGAGAAAGACGCGTTTTACGTTGTCCGAAAGGGAGACATCGTTGGTGTGTATCGAAGCTTGAGCGAATGCCAACAACAAGCTGCCTCTTCTGTACTCTCATTTCTATCTCTCTTTTTTTTTCTTTTTTTTAAAAATCGATTCAAATATTCAAAATATGATGCTAGATTTATGGATTGTTGTTTTTTACAGGTATCAGATCCACCGATGAGTGTGTACAAAGGATATGGTTGGCCACAGGGAGCACAAGACTTGATATCCTCTTTTGGGCTTAAGAACGCTCTCTTCTCTGTCAATGCTTCTCATCTCAAACATGATGATGATGCCGTCTTTGGGAAACTCATTCCTTGTCCTCTTCAGGTTATTTAGTGCAGATATCATATCATTTGAGATAATATGCGTCTGACTTTTGATATGATTATGTTACAGCAACCATCTTCTTCTTCCCAAGGAGAGTCTCTCGACAAGCCTTTCCAGCCTAAGAGATTATTGCAACAAATGGTAATCTCTTGTCACTCCTAAGTTGACTCATTGGATTTGCCCATGTACAATGTGAGAGATAGTAAATGTGTCCTGTTACCTCTCTTCTTTCAGGAAACTGATGAATCAAGTTTCTTTGCCTCTAATCATCCACAAAAGCATCTTAAGATTGAAAGTGGCAGCGGCATGGTTCCTCGCCTTGCTGTTCCTTCCAGTCAGTTGACTCAGCGTCCCATACTTCAAAATGTAATGCCATTCTCCCAACAAAACGTTTCGTGCATCCTTTTTTAATAGTAATCTGGAATCAATAATTACTTGAACCTCTTCAGGATTCGTGTAACATTGAGTTTGACGGTGCCTCAAAAGGAAACCCTGGGAAAGCTGGTGCTGGAGCTATTCTCCGTTCTTCACATGATAACAGTGTGCTCTTCTATTTGCGCGAGGGTGTGGGAATTGCCACTAACAACGTTGCAGAGTATCGAGCTCTCATTCTTGGTCTCAAGTCTGCTCTTAACAAAGGCTTTAAGAATGTCCGCGTCCAGGGAGATTCAATGCTTGTCTGTATGCAGGTCCAGTTACACTCTGCTTCACCCTATCGTTCTTCTTTCTTTGTTCCAGTATCATCTCTAACTGTTTGGGAGCAGGTTCAAGATCTATGGAAAACTAAACACCCGAAAATGGCTGAGCTTTGTAAACAGGCCAAGGAGCTTATGAAGCAGTTTAAATCATTCCATATCCAACACATTGACAGGGTAAAAGCCACTAACCACTCTGGTTAATTCGCGTAATTGGAAATGAAGGTGACACAACTAATGGTTAGCCTTGTGGTATATGTATAGGAATTCAATTCTGTTGCTGATGCACAAGCTAACCATGCCATCAACCTCCCAGGTGAGATAGTTTAAAGTGAATATGGATTTTTAGTTTCTTTCATCTTTCTTTTTTTGAAAATGGATCTTTAAGTAACTCTCGATGCGTATGCAGAGGGTCAAACGAAAGAGATTGCAGGCGGCTAGAAGAATACAAGAAATTCAACTAATTAATTTATATATTTCTGTTTGCTGGTTTATGGGATCTTGTCTTTAATATGCTAGCAGTAGTATGTGTTAACATGATGAAGGAACATGTTCTTGTGCTCTGTCCCCTGCCTGTTGAATTCCCAAGAACATGTCTATCTTTTGCTTATATTCTGTTCAAAAGTGATAATGTTTTGTATTTTCTCTACTTGAAAACATTATCAACGTTTCCTTGTTATGCGGTCTTATTTGTTTATTCAAACCATTAGTTCACACATGCAAGGGTCAACTAGCCATTATCCAAACCATATTCAACAAGAACAAGTTTGTTGAATATGAAGATGAACATGGTGGAGGAACATGGTACGCTGCAATCTCTTTTGCTCTGTCCACAGAATTAGCAATGATGTGAAAAAATGTTTGTAAAAAGGAAACCGATATTTATCAACTGGATCTCACAAAAACAAACAATCTCAAGAAGATAAATTACAGAGGGGGGAAACAAACTAATTTACAGTTATTTTATTTATCTCCCATTTGCGGTTGTAAAAAAGAGAAAAAGCTCAATCACAGTTCCGACGATCTTCCACCACCGGATCTAGGTTGCCTTAAGAGCAGAATCAAAGCCTCAGCCTTTTGCTTGGCTCGACTAGTTCCAACCTGAGTAAGCGCAACAAGCGGAGGAATGGCTCCTTCCCTAGCAACCATGGTTCGAAACACCACACTCTCCTCACAAAGCTGAAGCAAAATCGACACAGCCATCTCCTTCTGTCTCTGCGTCCCATCCTCCACAATCTCCACCAGCACCGGCACACCTCCTTCCTCCACAACCGCCGCCTTCGACTCCGGCACCGACATCAGCAGGCTCATAACGAACGCCGATTTATCAACCATGTTGGATCCGAAATCAGCCATCAACTCCACCAAGGGCTTCATGATCCCACACTCAACAGCTCTCACTTTGTTCTCCTTAGCTGAGCAGAGAGAGTAGAGAGCCGTCGAGGCATCTTTCTTCGCTCTAAATCCTCCCGTTTCTAACAGATTCACCAAAAGAGGAATCGCTCCTGATCTCCCTATCGCGACTTTGTTCTCCTCGAGCTGGGAAAGACGGAGGAGAGCGCATGCGGCGTTCTCCTTAGCCGTCGGTGTTCCCATTTTCAAGGCTCTAACGAGAGGCTTAACGGCTCCTGAAGAAGCGATGAGGTCTTTGTTCTCGTCGCAGAGGGAGAGGTTGAGGATGGCGGTGACACCGTACTCCTGGAGCTGAGGATCGGAGGAGGAGATGAGGGAGATTAAGGGTTTGATGGCGCCAGCTTTGGCGATTTTGATGCGGTTCTCTGGTTTGTGTTTGGAGAGGAGTCTGATCTCCATGGCGGCTTGCTTCTGGTCTTCGGCGGAAGAGGAGAGGAGGGAGACGAGGTGAGGGATGAGGTCGTCGGTGGAGGAGGAGGAGGAGAGGAGGAGGCGTCGGCTGAGGGGAGAAGGGGAGGGGAACTCGCCGGATCTGTCGCTGTTGCAGTCGCTGAAAGCGGAGGAGTGGTCGTTGTTGAGGCTGCTGAAAGTGCGGCCCATGTAGGTGAAGCCGCCGTGATTGTGATTATCAATCTCCATGGATGGTTGAGAGATAGAGAGAGAGCAAAATGTCGTATTCATTAAACGTCGATGGTTTGGTTTTAGCAGAGCGAAGAAGAATCTTTGTTTTGTAATAACAGAGAATCAATGATTAATTTTTAATGGATTTTAGTAATAATGTTTTGGTGGTTAAATATATAAAATAATGATACGCTCTTGTTCAATTATGGTGTTCTATACGTGGACTCAGTCTTATTAGTGTGAGTTAGTTACGTCTCATTCAAAAGTGGGCTTTTAATTCAATAAACGTTGGCCCACTACTTTTGTTAGGAGTCGGTAGATTACAATAAACTACGTTGATGGTTTAGCAGAGAAGAATCTTTGTTTATTTGGATGTAATAAGAGAGAAACAAGCATTAATTAATTTAATAGGATGTTTTGGGGGTTTATATTAAAGTAATAATGATTTACATGCGCATTCAATTCAATTTGTGTCTGAAATAAATGTAAGTTTGGCCCATTCAAAATGTAGTGGCCCACTACTCTTGTTAGTTGTCGGTAGATTTGGATAGACGTGTCCTTTCTGAATCATTCATTATTGTATCTCTCTCAGTTCATCTGCTCTCCTCCTAACCAAGCGCCAAAGCTGAAAGGCATTCCCTTCTCTCTACTTGTCGTCTACAGTGAGATCGGTGGTATTTTTCAATCGGAAGTTTATTAGGCTACTATGTGAACATTCATAGACTAGACTAGACTAGACTTAGACTAGACTAGTAGGAAAATCGACAAGTTGTTTGTTTGCTTGGTAGGATGATGTATGTATGATGTATTTAAAATTCTACTTTCACTGGCTTCGATCTAATTTTTGCTTCTGATCGTTTACGTCCGAGTTATGGATTGGTGCTATATTTAACATATATACCAGGTCCAACACGAGAGACAATCCTTAGTACTTTAGTTGGATCATTCATTTTCATGTGTAGTGTAGGAGGAGGTTTCCGCAATTTCATTTGCCTTGTAGCTAGCGTATGTGTGGTTACTTTGATTCACAAACCTCGATTTATCTTAACAAAGACTTCTTTTTGTTTGTTTGTTTGTTTGGTACTAGGATAAAAAAAAAAAAGGAAACATGGAATCGAGCAGAGGAGGAGGTGGAATCCAGCAGTTGCTTGCTGCTGAACAAGAAGCTCAACACATTGTCAATGCTGCCAGGACCGGTATTTCATTGATGGAGCTTTATATATCTATGTTTCAGAAATGATTCTCTATCTGTGATCTTGTGGTTGGTTGCAGCCAAGATGGCAAGGCTGAAGCAAGCCAAGGAAGAGGCTGAGAGAGAAATTGCTGAGTTTAAAACTAAAACTGAGCAAGACTTCCAGAGGAAACTCGAGGAGGTAACTACATCTTCCAGAGAAGAATAAAAGTGTCATTTTCTTCTTCTCTCTAATAAACCATATATATATATATTTGCTCCTCTCCTCATAGACAAGTGGAGACTCGGGTGCGAATGTGAAGAGGCTGGAGCAAGAGACTGATGCTAAAATCGAACAGCTCAGGAACGAAGCTTCCAGGATTTCCAATGATGTTGTCCAGATGCTCCTCAAACATGTCACCACTGTCAACAACTGAGAAAGATTTATTTATTCATCAAGAAAGAGGTTTCTAAGCTGTTCGCAAACTCATTTCCGCTCTCATTTGTCGCTATGACTTGTTTATTTATTATCTGCTCTCTTTTTATTCTCTTCTTGTTGTTGTATTTATAATAATGCCATTGGGGTTGTAATAATGTTTACATTGTCTGTTAGTCAAAATGCATCTCCATTCTTTTGGGGATTTAGTTTCTTACAACTATCGAGCACATATAAGAGCAAACAGCAGCTTAATTAAGAGAAGAGACATTTCAAAGGTCGTTCGTATATCTCAAATGATTTTGGAAAGATGGATGTAGAGTAGTGTGAGAGAAGACAATGGAGCTGAAGCTCAAACGTAAGGAACGATGGATGGGTGAAGTAAGTAAAGGTAATGCAAATTCGTGATTGCATACTCAGGCAGCTATCTCTCTACTTGAGAAATTACCATCGAATTTAATTGCGTTTATTTGTAGCAAGCAGAGTTCGTCTCATTTCGCTGGCGAGTTTGTTCAAAAACAATTCAATCGGCCCTAATTGGACCTAGTACTCCAACGACAACTTTGAGCCCGTATTTTAATTGGCCTATAATATTGAAAAAAACTAGGGATACGGCCCAATACTATATATTCAGATCATAGAACGCCAGAAAGAGCTAACGTGACACAAAAGAAAAACAAGAAGAGGAGCGAAACCTAAATTTCACGACCATGCCGCCGCCGAATATGAGATCGATCTTTGCTAAGGTGCGTCGAGAACCTGAATCCTATTAAATTAATTCTCGGTTAGATTTGGGTTTTTCTCTAATTTGTTGGATTGATGACAGGTACATCAGACGTCGAAATCAGTTGTGTCTCGCCGCAATTTCTCTTCACCCGCCGCAGGTGACGGCAAATTAGGTAAAAAGTTGTCTGATTCCTTTTCATCTGATCTACCAAATATCGAGACATTTCGAGTCTGATTTTTTCTTTGTTGATTTGTCTTTGTAGAGCCAAAGAAAATATCTACAGTGAAATCTATTGTAACTCGATACCTAGGAATTGGTATCATAGGATATACTACGGGACTTTACACTGGTACGTTGAGAGAGAGAGAGAGAGAGAGATGATAGAGATTTTTATTCGCTTGTAATGTTTTTTTTTTTTTTTTTGTATCAAGGCAAGCGTCTATCTCTGGAGGGAGACTGGTGAATCGTTCAAGAAATCGTCAAAGATGTCTGGGTGGACTATGTAATAACTATGTGCCTGTGGTCTCTGTTTAAACTGAAAAAACTTTTCTTTTGAGGTTGTTTTCTCTTTTTGCTGCTCTCTCAGAATATTAAAACCTCATTTGTGTGATTTCGTAGACTAAAAAACCTTATGTCGTTGGGAATGCTTTTCTGTTTTTATCAATGCTAGCTAGTTTCCGAGCTCCTCTTACATAAGCACATAGATGAGACGTCACCAGATTCTTTAGTATTGTTTCTTTGTACGGTTTGTGTTATGCATTTTATTGATAAGAATGTGATATGACTAATATCTTCATATGAACGATGAATTATTTGTCTAACCACTAATGAAACTTTATTTGGAATGATTTGTCTCCTTTAGTCTGCATTTCTCTATGAGCTATGTTCACTGTTTTTCCAGAGAATAATCACTTGTGTATCAAATCGTCCACAGAGATTGAACGTGATACCTACAATATGTGAAACATTTTTAATAGTTTAAAAGTTTATCATGCTAGACACGTAGACCAAACCCAACACCCGATTAGCGTTTAGCAGTATATTTTTCAAAGTGGAAACATATTAAACGAATTAGCCGTCGGGCTACTTAAAAGAATTGGACCTAGTCCTCCAGGGACAGCGTCTCTTTCAACTTTGAGCCCGTCTTGTAATAGGCCTACAATACTGAAACACCCAATAAATACATGAACGCCAGAAAGAGCTAACGTGAGACAAAAGAAAAAAAAAATAGAAGAAGAGCGAACCCTAAATAAATTTCACGACCATGCCGCCGCCGAGTATGAGATCGATCTTTGCTAAGGTGCGTCGAGGACCTGAATCCTATTAATTAATTAATTAATTCTCGGTTAGATTTGGGGTTTTCTCTGATTTGTTCGATTGACAGGTACATGAGACGTCGAAATCAGTTGTGTCTCGCCGCAATTTCTCTTCACCCGCCGCAGGTGACGGCAAAGGTGAAGTTGTCTGATTGATCTATATCAAATTCGAGTCTGTGATTTTCTTTGTTGATTTGTGATTGTAGAGCCAAAGAAATGCTTATGCGAAACAATGAAACCTCTGGTAACTCAAACCCTAGTAGTAGCTGCCCTAGCATATTCTACGGGATTGTTCGCTGGTACGTTGAGAGAGAGAGAGAGAGAGAGTACATTAATTTTTATTCCATTAATCAAATTGTAATGCTTTTTTTTTTTTTCATTGTATCAAGACCGTTATCTAACTCTAGAAGGAGGAGGAGGAGGAGGAGGCTCGTGAATCATTCAAGAAATCCGAAAAGTTGTCTGGGTGGTCTATGTGACTGTCGTCTCTGTCTAAACTGAAAAACGTTTCTTTGAGGTTGTTTTCTCTTTTTTGCTGCTCTCTCAGAATATTAAAAACTCGTGTGTGATTTCGTAGACTAAAAACCATATGTTGTTTGGGGAATGCTTTTATGTCCAGTTCTCGAGCTCCTCTTACACATAACCATATGTCTTATATTCATTAATGATAACCAAGGCTTGCCTGAAAAGTATAAGGTTTCTTTGTACGGGTTTGTGTTATGTGTGATATTGGCAAGAATGTCTCATTTTACTTAGTTTGACTCTTAAACATCCATTATGAACGACGACGAATTGTTTGTGTAACCTAAAGTGTAGACAAATGCTTATTATTAATTCTCAAGAATCGACCAAAAATTATGGGAATGCAGAAATTAGTTTATTACATCCTCCTACTATTAAACCACTCTTCCGACCAATGAAAGCTTGTTACCTTGGTTTTATCTATTCTTAGGATTTTGTTAAACAATTCTGTTGTATATATATAGTATAACCTGAGGAACAGATGATGAGATTCAGTAGTCCAAATTGATTTTCACAGCAAGCAATGGCCTCTTCTCTTGTATCTTAGAGGGTGAAAGATGTTGTCAAGAAGATGACAACTAAAATGCCCAACCCGACCACCACCGTTTCAAACTCTCATCATCTGTTCCTCCCCGGTATGGGGTTTCGTTACCGAATGATGTAAAGAGGTTGTTGCATACAAATAAGGACCACATTTAGTTATTGTTTACAAGACATATAATTCAATCTTCTTTTTCTAACTATTCTTTTGAAAAGATTATGACTCTCTCTCTCTCTCTTCTTATCCCCATAAATGTGTTTGTATATGTAGTAGCAACAATACATATAGTTCATATCAAAACAATCTTTCCTTGTCTAATCTTTCCTTGTCTAATCATTCGTTTGAAAACACAAGGTCCAACTTTAGTTTTACGATTCTAATTTACCCGGCTGAAACATATTAGGGACAGAGTCCCACATCAGAAGTTAGAAGAGATTCTATCTAATATATAAGATAGATGAGTCACTCTACTTATCACCAATTAGTTTTAGGTTGGAAGCCCATCTAGCTTAATATGGTATCAGAGTCCACGATCCACGCAGCTCAATCCGGTCCTTATCGATCCAGTCCAAAGTCGGCCCTTTGATTCTTGCCTGAACATTCCGAGATTGACGCCAAAGAGCCATCATCCCCCTTAGAGGGCGTATTAGTAGTATATAAGATATATGGATCACTCCACTTATCACCAATTGATTTTATGTTGGAAGTCCATCTATCTTAATAAAAACACATGTGAAATATTTTTAAACAAAAAATACAAGCTACCAAAACCAAACGTACACAAGGTTTACGTCAAAAACGTAACCAGATGTAACCCTTTGACTCAATGTGCAGAGCTGGCTTGGATCATCGATGATGTAAGTTCATCATCATCTCACTCTTCAACCGCAACCTTTGTACCGTAGCCACTTATTGCAGAAACCTTGGCAATGCGAAACGCTATGACCTCTGCACTCCATCGAGGATTATCTTTGATCTCGATCTTCTCTGATTTTTAAATCCTCATCAATCTTGTTAGATCGAAAGGATGGAACTTAGAGATCACCATGCTCTTCAACGATATTGCCCAACTGTCCTTTTGCTTTAATGCCATTCAGTTTTATTATATCCCTTGACTTGATAATGCTAGAGCTGACTTTGTTTCCAAACATGCTCTAGTCCTATTGTATTAAAACTGCTGCTTTTTATTAATGTATTTTGCACTCCATACACACACTAAACCTCATAATTCACTATATACCGTATTTCTTCCTTTATCTCTTCTCCCCACACATTACTATTTTTCCCACAAAAAATGGCAAATTCCTAATTTCCTATTTTCTTATGGATTTCTACCCAATTCACTCTTTTTATTAATGTATTTTGATTCAAAAAAAAAAAAAAAAAGAAAAGAGTAAGGAGGAGAAATAGTGTAATTTTGGTTAAATAATGAATTTTAGGTTTTTTTTTTTGCGTGTGTAGAGGGCTATATTTCCCATAATATTATTACGGGAGACGGTGTCTGGAAGCGAACCCTAAATTTGCTAATCATGTCGCTGAAACTGAGATCGATCTTTGCTCAGGTGCATCGAGTATCCATCCTATCATCTTCCTTCTCTGTTCGATTGAGTTATCTCTAAATTTTTGTTTGTTCGATTGGGTCTTGCTTGACAGGTGTATCAGACGTCGAACTCAGTTGTGTCTCGCCGCAATTTCTCTTCATCCTCAACCAACGTCGAAGGTAAAGTTGTACCAAATTCGATACTTTTTTTTTCTTTTTTTCTAAAAAAAAGTAAGTGATTTTTCTTCAATATATTTTGTGATTGACAGAGATTATCAAAGTTGTAAGGATTTATGCTGTAACTCGAACCATAGGTTTTGCTTCCGGATTTTACTTGGGTACGTTTAAAGAGAGAGAATAATGACAGAGATTATTTATTATTCTCTTAAGATCAGCTTTTAATACCCTTTTTCTTTGTTTTCTTTTTTTTGGGTGTATCGAAGGATACTGTATATGGGGTGATCTTGATAAGTTCCTTGAGGAGGAGCTGGAAGAGGTATAAAATAAAAATCAAAGAAGCTAGCCCTTGATAGAATCTAATCTTCACTATATCTTCTATGTGTTGTGACAGGATATGAGGAAGGCTAAGGAACGCTTGAAGAGAAGCGAAGAGAAATTGGTCCGTCTTTTAAAGTAGTTGTGGTCAGCCCCAATTTGTCTCTGTGGTTTGGTCTAAATTGAAACACTCAACTTATGTGTCTCTGTGGTTTTGTCTAAACTGAAACACTCGTCTCTGCTTTCTTTCTTTCAAAATATTTTAATTTCTTGTGTGGACCAAAGAATATATATATGTTGTTGGGAATGCTTTAAGGTCAGAATGTTTTCCAAACGCTTCTCTATCTCTCTCTCTCTCTCTCTCTCTCTCTCTCTCTCTCTCTCTTTCTTAGGGATGTTAGGTCCCAAAGACTTTAAAGAGAACAAGAACACTAATTTACTGCAATTTTCTTTTCATAACTCATCCCAAAATACATGGACATGTATATATACATGAAAGACCAAGTAACTACTCTACTACCCCATTTCCACCCATATAGGAGCAACCTAATACACGTGTATTTCTAAACCTAATATTTGTTTACTCTCATCAAACGATTGCAGAGTAGAGAAAGCGTGATCCCTTAATGATTTTTCTAAATTATATTTTGCTGGCTTGACTCCATTGGAAACTTAGATTGAGTCCAAGACCCATCCATCAGTTTGGCAACGACAATCGAATTCGATCTCCATTTCATTTCCTCTGGTAGCAGCAATCATTAATTAGCTCGCTCTTGGACTCCAACCGACAAAACTATTTTCTGCGTGACTTTGAGCCCGTGGGCCTAGACTAGGGCACAATAGTGGATTAATATCTTAGTATCACGAGAGACTGTGTAAGAAGCGAGGCAGCCCTAAATTTCCTAATCGATCATGTCGCCGAAATTGAGATCGATCTTTGCTCAGGTTTGTCGAGAATCCGATCATGTCGGTATATTACTATTCCTTTGTCCTTTCTTTTCTTTTGATTTGTGCTCTTTTTGTCTCCACAGGTACATCGAAAATCGCTATCGATGGGGTCTCGCCGGGGTTTCTCTTCTTCTTCATCCGCAGGTTGTCTCCTCGAATCTGTGATGTCTGAATGTATAATTGTGATTATTATTATTCATTTTTTTCCGATTGCAGTTTCTTCTTCGGAGGCGAAATTTGCTGAGTGGGACAAGCTTTATACCTTCGGCGGTTCGTTTAAGCTTGGACTCTTTGCTTCTGCATCTTTTGGTAGATAATAGTTCCCCTTCTGAAAAAAAAAGAATAGTTAGGGAAGAAAATTGCACATTTGTGATTTACTGCTTCTTCCTTTTTCGTTTCCTCAGTGGTGTACAAGGTTTATAATAACTACTACCCCAAGTTGCTGATAAGAAAGGAAGAACATAAACGCTTGTTACAACGTCATAGTGAACTGGTATGATTTCATTACATATCTGTCTCTCTGCTTTTGAAAGACCAGTAAACTAATAATGGAGAATTTATATGTCTTGTCCTTTTATTTTTATTTCACACTTTCAGAGGGCGCAGGTAGGGCTGGATCTCGATATATGAACTCTGAAGCAATATGTCTTATTCTGTTTGTGATGAAGAGGGATTCCTAATGTTTTCTTCATACAAAGTAATGTTATGTGGTTGCTGTCCTAAACTAATCCATTCAGTTATGTGTGAAACTTTTGTGGCCTTGGTCTTTTCCTAAACTCTCCTTAATAACAATGCTTTGCTTTTTCATTATTAATTCTTACTTCATTCAAATTATACCTTTCACTTGAATGTTTCATGGTCCTTCGTTTTGTTGCAGGTGTCACGTTCTTAGCTCTTCTTTCTAACTTTTAAAAGGCTAGTAGCTGCTCTTTATAATTTCTCACTTGAATGAAGGATATATATACATATATGTTACCCGTAACACGCATGCTATATGAAAATACATCTTCGATCTATAAGCTTTCGACATCCAATGTCAATCATTAATATACATACCTTCCAATATATTTTTCTTTAGACAAAATGCGTTAATCAAATTTTGAATCTAGCAAATCTAGAATCTTCATCCGCCAAAAGTATTTATGTTGTAATCCGAATTTCGATAGGTAATGGTCTGATCATTTTGGTCATTCACATCTTCGATTGTGTTCCCACATTTACAACAACAATCCCTGCAAAGAGTATACACACTATGCTAAACACTACAGACTTGACAATTAAAAACCTAAACCCAATAAAAGATTTAACACATTGTAATGGTTTCTTCCCCACTCTGTGCATCTCTCTAAATCTCATCATATAATCAGGATACTAAATTTGAGAATAGCCTTTCTCGGTTTTACCTTTTCTTTCTTGTGAGCTGTTTGAGTAAAAAAAAAGAAGAAAACCCAAGAAGGAGTTCGTTGTTATCATCTTGAAGCTGAGAGAAACCTATGGAACCTTTCTACCCTATCTTTGTTACGCTGCTGCTGAGATAAGTGTCCGGTCTTCTTTTTCTTCTTTTTCCTGTGGAAGACATCCTCCGTATCCAAGACGTACGAAACCTACAAGAGATGCATATATATATACTGAGTGGGCGTTGTTCAACAGAATACTGAGGTAGATATTGCTTTTGTATAAAGAAAAGATTATCAGTGGATGGCAATTGAGTTACCTTGTAAGAAGAGCAAGACATCTTGCATTCCAAGCCATTTACTAATTGGACACCTTCCATGGCTTTACAGAGTGCTGCAAGATCATACAAGCCTGAGTATGGACGCCGATTCCTGCAAAAAATATGTCCAAAAAGAGGTTTGGATTACTCAATCGTCCCAGATCGTACATATTCTCTACCAAATGATATGAGCGATTATATTTAAGCAGATTTTTTTTGAAGAACGTAGTGTCTTATCCAAAAGCCTAAGCACATGCAATGAAATTTCTGAACTTTCAAGTATTACGTAAGATATAGAACAAAAGATACCTTCGTAACACAATGTTATGTCCCTCCTCTTTTTTTTCTCGCGAGGTGGACAGAAATTCAGTTTGCAAATAACTTGCAAACATGGGATCCATAGAAACTGCATATGGTTCTGCCTTCTCGGCTACGTTGTCCATAAGTTGGATCGATAAACGAGATGGCGAGGATGACTGCAGACGAATTTTATAAATAAATAAAAAAGTAAATTTAAGTTCCAACTGATCATGAATCACCACCACATTTGATGTATGAAGACAATGAGAGATAAGAGTGTCAGTGTCATACACATTCCAACCGGTAAATGTTTTCGTCGTGGAGGAGGACCCTGGCATTTTCATAATACACCAAGTCAATAACCCTTCCAGGTTTCCGGGATTTCTCATACTCGTACAACTGAATTAGCTTGTTGTCCATGTCATCCGCTACAATAGCTTGAAGCTGTTATATGGATAAAATCACAACGCCACAAGGAATGTATAGTAATGTCGACAAAATAAAATAAATATATATTAGTCTCAAACCACTAGTGCCAGACAAACCTGTTTAACCAACTTGTATATCACTTTGTTAAGCGTGAATAACACATATGATTTATTTCCGAACATAGCTCTGCACTCTTCCTCATACTTGGTATTTTCAACTGATCCATCAAGCAAACCATACAAAATCCTCATGAACCTGTACAACATACCCCATCAGTTTTGTAGGGAAATAAATTGTATTGGATAATCTATATACTGTACAAAGGAAGGTACCTCTCATAAGCATCTAGAGAATCGGCATCCTTTGAGTTTTTCGATTTCAGTTCATCGCCTGAAGAATTCCTTTTTGCAGACAAAATCCTCTCATAAAGAATCTGAAAATGCACTTCATTATTTTTTTGTTAAGAGAGAAGAATATTTAGACAATAATTGCGTGCAAGCAACTATATCAAACGATGCACTCACTTGGTGAAGCCTAAAGAGAACATAAAAGTCGTCATTCCCATAGAAAACTCGGAAATCTTCAGTCCTCACGTCGCGTAAAACCGCTGCCACATGCTTTGAAAGAGGTCTGACAGACAAGAAAACACGTTCTGACTGCGGAAGCAACTCAATGTCTCCTGCTAATAGATGTGAGTCCACTTCCTCTGCTTCTCCCTCACTCTCAGCTTTACCATCAACCTCATCATGCTCACCAGATTCCTCCTCTCTATTTTCATCACGTGAACCCTCTTCACCACTAGATTCGGTTCCAGATGCATCCTCACCACCCTCTGAAGCATTTACACTATCTACTTCAGCATCTGCTAAATTTTCTGGTTTAGATGTGGAATTCACCCCAAGATCTTCATGAAGACCAACGTTGTCTTCGAAATCACCATTAGGTGAGAGTTCACCTTCCTCCTTCTCAGTTGTTAGCGGACCTTCGGGTTCATTAGAAGTCTTATTATCCGTCGAAGAATCTGATCTCATTCCACTTGCCAATTCTATTAATTTGCCAACATCACCTGCCTAGTAAAACAACAAGCGCCGTTTAGCATGATCTGAGGGGTCAGAAAAAGCACAATAAAATAAAACATTATTTACTTTTTTTCACCACTAGGTCCCATACGAAGTATTGTAATACTCCATGGGTACATCCTTAAGCCATGGAAACGTCTGGGAATAGTGGTGGCACGTAACTATATAATCAAAGTTGCAACGAGCAAATGAATGTAGTACCTGAGTCGATGGAGAAGTTTCAATGATATGTACACCATGATGAATATCACTCAGAGTGTTGCTTCGTTTGGCTTGAATCTCATGTGAGCCTTGTAAAAGTAATAAAAGTCAACACAAATAGATGAACAGCAGAAGAAAAAAAATTAGATGTTTAAATCTGAAAAGTACCTGCTGGATTTTTCTTTCCTACTATAACATGATTGTTTTCTCCACTTGGGGTTGATAAAATCGACGTGGATGCTCTTTCGCTAACATCCATTTGGATCGGCATTTCAGATCTTTGATCAGCTCTATTTCCAGTATCATGTTCTTTCTGGAGTTTTACAGCAGAACAGGTAACACCATCTCTGTTGGCTGCGCCAGCATCTTGACGATTTTCTTTCCCTGTCGAGTCTTTATTTAACAAACCTATCACACCAAGATTGGATGCCCCAGACAAAGCATTCTGATCTCTGTTGGCAGCAGATATTAGTTTCCTGGAAGCTAGCGTTGCTGTGTCTGCTCCAGAAATTCCGTTAGCCTTCTCATTAGTTGAAGTGATGTGATTCACATCGAGAGTCTTGGCAACTTCTTCAACAGGATCGGTGTCCTTGGCCCTGGGAGGAACGCCCAGCACTGGCTCAAGGAAATTTTCCCAAAGCTTCAGAACTTTACTGAGCTGTTCTTTGGTAGAGCACAACTCCTCGCATGAAAAATGGACTAGTTTGTACAGGTTTTCATGAATAGCACGACTGGAATACTCATAGTTAAGATTAGGACTTATGGGTTGTCTGTAACCAGCAGAAATAGACAGCAGAATATCATCCTCATTCTCAGTCTTCTCTTTCAGCTCCTTAATTTCAGCTACCAATGCTGGTTCACAAAGCAAGAATATGAAACGGAAAGCGGTGAGACGAAAAAGTGAAAGCAAGAATGGAGCACTGCCAGCTGATTGTAAGCAATATAACATGACAAGATAAGTTTGCTTACAACTTGACAATATCCATAAGTCTACTTACATTTTGCACTCGACTTCTTTGAATCTTGTTGCTTGAAGTAGAAACTGCGGTGATCAAGTGATTTGTAATGGTTTTTTGCATATACCTTAGCCCAGATCTTATCAAAATCATCTCGGCATTTCGTCCATTCATCTTGTTTCTGCTTCAAACGAGTCAATATTACAGGAAGTGCAGTGGCTGGATTCTTATGTAATATGTCTATCACGTCAAGACCATGCTCGCCATAGAGACGTTCAATACACCTTAAGTTCAGGGCTGCAAAAAAATGTCAACAAGAAAGCAAAGGTAAGAGCAAACATATGGGGGCTCCAAAATAGGGGAAGAGGGAAAAGCATACAGACCCGTGAGGTGATCTTCGATCCGGAAGGAGCCAGAAAAAGTTATTTTCTTCTCTGTGATATTGTTCAGCAAATTTTCAGCACTTCTGGCCGCAGAGTTGACAGATTCCAAAAGCATGTCCAACTCAAATCTGTTACAAGCAGTAATTAAATTAAAAGACCAACTACTTCAAATTACAAAATATACTACAAAATATATATATATATATTATACCTATCATCTTCGCATCTGAAGATGATCTCTTCATATGGGTTTCTGCGCATGTGCTTAAAAGAAAAATCTTCACTTCCTGAAGTGACAGACACCCAGCGATCATTTAAAACCTCAGCTCCTAGCTCCGACCTCTGACTGGCAGTTCGTACCGGATACTGCAAATCAGATTATAACAAGTAAGAAATCATCTAATGAACGTGCTCACAAAGAAACTTGGAAATAGAAGATCTAATTACATCCGGAGGCAGTAGCCGGTAGCTAGGAGTGCAACATTCGCAATTAGATAAATCAAGCTCTTGAATAGATTTTCCCACGTACTCCTCCTTGCATTGCTCTGTTTCATTAACAACCTCGAGGTCAGGCTTATGTTCTATTTCCTTTTCTTCCACCTCCATTGACCTGGACGCCTGTTCTTCGCTACTAAATGATTCTGCAGCATGTGTACCAATAATGTCAATAATGATCTTAAAAAATAAAAGGCAACAGACGCTATTATTCATAGCCGAGGAGTCTAAAATAGCAGCATACTTTTGCTCATAACACCAGCAAGGTGTTGGAACCCATCTGCAATAAAGGATGACAGTCAGAGAGAAGATTGCTTATAAATAATAAAAAGCCAAAGTGGGTATTTTGAATACCAATACTCTCACAACGCTCAAAGAACTGATTGAACTCATCCATGAGATCAGGGAATTTCCCAAGAATATCAGAAACCTGAAAGAAAATGAATGGGATTTTATACTAACTCCTGAAAGTTACCCAATGTCGACCCTAATCACAATAAGGAAGAAATTCCCAATACCAAATTCTGCAGTTCCTTCCTTTGGATTATTCCATTGCTAAACATATTGAGGAACTTCAAGAATGTCTGATAATCATTTTGGCTGCATAATCCCTCCTTGACTTTCTCACAGAAAACAAATGCTTGGTTGTACATGCCTAGCACAAAGGATGTAAACATCTTAGAAATCAGAAATACTTTGTTTGCACCATAAAATCACCAAGCGGCCAAAACTGGAAAAATACATTCTCTCTTGAAGAGAGAGAGTTAAGATGTCCACCGTCCAGACCCTGATATATAGAACAGGAACCAAGCAAATAAACATATGTTTGACAGGAGCTAGCTTACTTTTCAAATTGTCTTTTTCAGAATGCGAAGCAGAACCAGAATATGCTTCAGGACCTTCCGCTCTTCTCGAAGACTTTCTTTTCTCTGGTAAATGGTGCAAGCTATCTTGATCTGCTTCTCTGTCGTCCAGAAGACGGCCTCTCCTTTCTCTGTTCTCCTTATCAGCACGCTTCCGCTGCTCTCTTTGCATCTTAACCATCGTTTTATCATCAGAAAGGTCATTATGATCAGCACTATAATCACTGCGTGAAGCAACAGCCCTTTCTGGTCGGCGCTCCTGGTAATAAAAAGATGTCCCAGGCACAAAACTAAGATATCTGGAAAAACAAGAGAACAGATAAAAACTAGCATACCTTCTCCACTTGCATTTGACGAATAAGGGGACGGCCTGATCCTCGGTCATTGTACCGTTGGGCCTGACTCCGGCTATACTGCGCTGCTGAATGAGATGGCAAGGACGCTGGCAAAAACCTAGTAAACTCTTCAAGCAAATCTGAGTGACCCTCGAAAAGGATAGATACCTAAAAGCACACATATTCGAGTGTCAGAAAATGTTTCATAAAACCTTGAAGTGGCATTACAGGTGGGATGAAGAAGATTACCTCACTGTAAACCTCATCAATTTCCTTGCTCTCCTTTCGATACATATTCAAGATATTCAAGAAGGATTTATAGACATGTTCATCATGCCTAAATCGCGTCTGCAGTGACAATAAAAGAGAGTCGCACATTGAGAAACGAGTTGTAAGGGCACATGACAAAAGTAAGGATAAGAGCAAATTTCCGAGAGCACCTTAATTTTGTTCACAAAAGTTATGGCTTCTTCAAATTCAACAGCCTTCTTAGGAGGGGCTTCATCTTCTTCAATAAAGATAATTTCGTATCCCTTTGGCAAGAAAGTATTAAATCCATATATCAAATTGTTATGTCCCTTGAACAGTTCCTTAACTCGCGCAATCACACCGCGTGTGTCGGTCCTACAAATCCAAGAGGAGGACTTAATTTGACTAAGACTGTTAATTTCACAGCCTCCGAGCTCAAAAAATATAAAACCTGATAGTAAAAGTCAAAAGACATCACCTACCTTTGAGCTTTAAAATCTTTCATGACTTCAAGAAACCGGTCATAAATCTCCCGTTGATCCTGAAACATGTCTTTAACATCCTTGAGGTAGGACAAGGCATCATTGGTTGTTAATTTCTGATCCCCACTAGCGATTCTCCCTCCCTCTCCTCTTCTTTCTTCAGTGTCACCACTCCCAGGGACCGTAGATTGTCCATATCTACACCAATCAATTACATTAATTACTCAAATCATTAACTTATTCCTAGTAACAAAATAAAAAAAAAAATTACTCTCCACGCATAAAAAACAGAACCACGATCAACCCCCCATCGACACTATAATAAGTAAAGTTTTGCAAGAAAATCGAAGTAATTTTTCTCTAATAAAGTGTCAACCAACGCAAACAAAAAATAAGTTTGATTTTGAAGTGAGGTATGGAGAAACTCACAATTGGCCTCGAGAAGAGGCCAAAGTGGGTCGAAATCGAGACCCGGAAGCATAGCTACCGTCTCTTATCCGCTTCATTTCTGCAAATTATCAAATTGAAACTTAAAACACAAAAATCATATAAATAATCAAAATCTGAGGAGGGGAGAGTCAAAATTCCACTCGAGGGATGCTTGTGAGACCTAGTTTCTGAGACTCTTGATATACTATATGGAATTAGCTTCTCAGATTTCCGAAACAAGCACTTTGATCATCGGCAAACAGAGGAAACTACGGCGAAAATCAAAATTCTCAGGGACTGAAGATGAATTGCGATTATATGAGACGAACGCTACAACGCACGGTGGAAGGAGATAGAGAATTTCTAAGGAATTGCAGAGAATATGGAGGCGGAGAGGGATTTGCATTCGGGGTGGTTCTATTCTACGTTTCACTCCGTCTCTTCTGTTTTGCGGCTACTGGTAGGAGTTTTCGTCTCCAGTGCCCGTGGATGAAAAATTTAAAGCTGAAATATCCACGTTATAACTCTATTTTAGTTAACCATTTATTTTTAATCGAAAAATAATTGAAATACTAAAAAACCAAGAGAAGTGTCGATATTTACATAGAATACCTGGGTCAAACCCACCCATCCAATGACCCACCCGATTGTAATGGGTAAACCAAAAATAACAGAGTAAACCGAGTAAACCAGAGAAATCCCTAAAATCAAATGCGATCTGTAATCGCGTGCTATTTCACTCCATTACTCTTTCTTTTAACTCTTCGTTTTCTTCTCTCTCGAAAACTCTCATTTTCTCTCTTCTCCCAGTGAAGTCGAAACTCTCGGAGAAAAGGAAGAGATCTCGCAAATCCCATTTCTACCATCAAGAGGTGAAGCTTTCTACTTTCATCGGTCTTATATTTTTCATTTCATAGGGTTTCGTGAGATCTAGGGTTTCGAAGTTTCGTGAGATCTAGGGTTTCGAACGGTTGTGTCTTGTAAATTAAGACGAATTAGATATCGAATCGGATGTTGATTTGGTCGTTGGTTGCGTCGAATTGGTCTCATTATGTCGTGTCTCTCGTGTCTCTCTCAAGTTGGTCTGATTCGAACATTGTTGTTACAGGAATTGAAAATGGCGAAAATACGATGGACTAATAAGAAGGGAAAGAAGAAAACGACGAAAACGAAAGCACTGAAGGATATAGCTACTCCTTCGAAAGAGGTTGATGTTGAGGAGAATGTAGCCACTCCTTCGAAAGAGGTTGATGTTGAGGAGAATGTAGTACCAGAGAAGGGAGAAGAGAGGTCACGAGAAGAGGAAGAGAGACCAGAGGGAGTAAATAATGTAGAACAGAGTGTGGAGAAGTTAGGAGAAGAGGAAGAGAGATCAGAGGGTGAGAACGCAGTAGAAGAGAATGAGGAGAAGTCAGGAGAAGAGGAAGCGAGATCAGAGGACGATGAGGCTAAGTTGGATGACAATGAGGAAGAGAGGTCAGATGAGAAAGATGCAGAGGTTGATGAGAATGAGGAAAATTCAGGAGAACATGAAGAGAGGTCAGATGAGAAAGATGCAGAGGTTGATGAGAATGAGGAAAATTCAGGAGAACATGAAGAGAGGTCAGATGATGAAGAGGCGAACTTGGATGGCAATGAGGAGAACTCACGAGAACAGGAACATAGGTCAAATGAAGAAGAGGCGAACTTGGACGACGAGGTTGTCTTGGATCAGAATGATGTTGAAGGAGGTGGGGAAGAAGGAGGTACCAGTCACTTAAGAAAGGTTA